TTTGAGTGTTCATTTTTAATATTCTAAGAACGTTTTCTCTCAACGTTATCACAACGTTCATCAAGTAAACGTATGGCATTCTAAGACTATTGATCTCAGAACGTGTTATGAGAACGTATATCAAATATTGATAACATTACAAGAACGTTCCATAAGCATTAGTTTAAGAACATTTTGTCCTAACCTTTATATAACTTTTAAAAAACGTTGTGAGAACGTTCCCTGTTCGCAGGACTGTAACGGCAGATTCACAAACACACGGTTGTTCCTCTAATGTGGAAGAGAGGGGCGGAGTCAGCAGAGCTCATTAACATTTAAAGGGAAATGCTACAAAAAATGCTTGCTCTGAAAAGAGCTGTTTTTGACCGTGTGTTTTTTACACTACCATTGAGAAATTTTAACCAAACTATGTTACAGACTTTTCATTAAGACCCTAAAGAATCATATCAACTTGTGGAAAATGGGCATCATATGACCACTTTAAAGCAAACATTATGTTTTCCTGTTTCTGTACCGTATTCATTATTGATGCTGCCATCACAAAAAAGAGCAATTAAAAGCAGATCAGAAATAGAGCGTTCATATTACACAGGCAAACATTGATTAGTGTGTGTGAGGTGACGAGCTAACGGTGGCACACTGAATCTCACAGACATTGATTGAAACATCACACTGGAACGAGAGACGCAGATGGAGGACAGAGAAGAGATTAGCTGGTTTATAATAACTGCAGTAATATCTCCAGATGAACACTTACTGGACTGAAGCAGCTCAGCTTTACTTGATTCTCCATCAATCATGTTTTAGAGTCTCAAATCTGATCCTCAGGATCTTTTGAGGAGCGTTTGTTTCCAGAAGCTTTACTTTCACTGTTCCTCAGCGGAGGAATGATCTTCACAAGCCTCCAAAACATCTCACATCTTCTGAGGAGCCTCTGAATAAAACTGAGCTGTTTTTTCCTTCATATTCTCACTCTATCAGACTATATGAGCCATAAAAGCCTGATGATCAAATACGATGGATGTGCTGGAGTCGGTTCATGTCTGGGCTTAAGTGCAGATCTCTTATATCATATGTGACTTGTTTTGTAGTCTTCCTCATTTAGAGAAACTCTAAATGTACTCTGACTCTCTGATCTTTTTCCGCTGTGTAGAGAGAGAGCGCTTGCGAATGGTTGCCAGGTTGGGTAGATAAATTAAACACGGGGCAGAAAATGTGTCCTTTTAAGAGAGAAGCTCTGATTTAAACTCAAGTTTAATCGATTTTCAACCGGCTCGCAGTTAATCGTTACATCCCTAACAGCTATACAAAAAAATCGGATCTGAGCACAAAATTGGAATTGAGCACTAAGGCTCACAGTGTGAACGTAGCCTTTGAAGCGTCACTAAAGCATCTCTGAAGCGTCTCTGAAGCGGCTCCGTCTGAAGAGAGCGCAGCTTCAGGTCCGTCGGATGGAGACCTGTGAACTCTGAGAGACGTAACGAAGATGAATGACATGATGGAAATGAGCAGCGATGAAGGAACATGTGCCGACAGCCTCATTTTGAACCAGACTAGATTCTCATTTTAATAATTCATCCCGCTGATGCATGTGAGTTTATTAATGTTTGCAATAGTCCAAACTTTAACGGCGTGTTCTCTTGTTCGGTGCATAAATTATGCAGATGTCCTGAGGGTTTGCAGTACAACACAAAGGCCTGAATTAAACATGAAGAGCTTTTAGAATAAAACACACAATTAGAAGTGTGACAGATTCTTAATGAGAAAATAAGTCTGCGTTTCTCCCCTCCGGCGCTCGAATGAAAGACTTTTATTAGGTCATTCGATCAGAAGGTGATACTGTATGAAGACGCTTGAAAGCAATTACACGCCGTTTATGAAATGAACAAATATTAGTACGACCTCAGATTTAGTGTTTAATAGATAATTCATGTTGTAGTAACAGCTTGTGAAAACTATTCTCACCTTTAATCTTAAATTAGCATTTTATTACAGCATCAGTATGTCCGCTTTGTTTACATCTGTGTTGTAGAGAAAACAGACATTAAATCAGAGATGAAGAATAAATCATAACAATAACAAAAACATCTGGAACTCCTTTTGTAAGGCAGATCTCATATTCATACGCATATTTACAGACGTAACTCGTAAGATCATTTATTTTTTGAAAAGTTTCTAATCTTGCTGTAATTTTAATCTTGTAAAATAAAATAATAATAATTATGATTAAATAGTATTATTAATATAGTTATATATGTATTTATTAATTATTAAAGTTTCTTATCTTGCTGTAATGTTACTGTTGTAAAATCAAATAACAATTATTAAAAAGTATTATTACTATAGTAATGTATTTATTCATTTATGATTAATTGAATAAATTTTAGTAATTGAATACATT